ATCTAGATTCATTTTCTAAAAATTCAATGTGAGGAAATTAGAGTTTTCATTTCTTTTTATAAATAACGTCCATTACAGCCAAGTGTATGCCTTGGTTATAACATAATTGGTGTATAAAACCAAGTTCGATCATTACTGCAGCAGCATCAGTGGTTGATGCAGCAACATCTAAAGAGATGATTGCAAACTCTGATAGTTTCTCTTTAACTAGGTCAATTGTTACTTCAGGTGTAGAGCTTCCATGAGTTTTGACCATTCCCAGTTTAATTAATAATTTATTAAAGTGAATATTGATATTCAAATATCTTTGATTGCGTAGACTTGTCTAATCATCAAACGTTAGACTAAATTTTCCACCTTTTTTTATGTGATTTTATTTTAACAATAAATTCATTTTTTGCCATAGCACAATATTCACGAATTAGTTTCATCGCATTGTTTTTACCTTTTGGAAGATGATATTATTTTTCACTAAATGCTTGACAAATGAACTCACTTTTGCATATTCCGTGAATTGAAAATCCATCAACGGCCGCAAGTCTGGCCACTATCTCTGCTAAGGACTGTTTCTTAGAAAAAATGATTTGAGAGACTTTTACAGCGGTTGTCTCACAGTTACTTGAACCAGCAATTTGATCGTTCTTATTAATCCAATGGTTGACGAGCCCTTACAGCCTAATAATTTATATAGACATTTCAAATACTTGGCTTGTTTATCTGCTTTTTCTTTGGAAAAATACTTCCACACTGAATCAGCGATTCTAAATAAAATAATATTAAAAGTATTAAAACAAAGAAATTAGTTTTAGAGTTAAAGAAAAATAAGGAATATTTTGAAACTTTCTTAACTAGTCATTTCTGAACTAAATGTTATTCGAAGTTTCTTGAATAATAAATTTAATTACAAATTTTAAAGAGTAATTAGCGTTTAAATTAATGCGTTTGTTTTGAATCACGTTTTACAAGCCACTAGGAAGCATTTAGCGTTTTGTATATGAAATAATGACTTGAAAAAAAAATGATGTTTGCTCTCCTTACGGGCATTTGTTTTTTAAAGTTATTACTCTATTATAGGTTAGTGCCGGATCAAAGGGAGGCTAGGGGGGCTTAGCCCCGGGCCCCGCAAATTTAGGGGCCCCAAAAAATTTTAAAGGACCTTTTTTTATTTTTATTTTTGGAGGCCCATAAAAAGGCCTCCAAAAACAAAAATAGCCCTGGGCCCCAAGAAGTCCTAATCCGCCACTGTTATAGGTGAATATTAAAATTAGATTTTAATTTTTTATTTAAAATTAGGAAAAATTTAATATATATATATATAACATTGGTAGTAGGTAATGACAAAATTTGGACCACCAGTAACTAAGCATTTCTTTTTCTCAAATCAGGCAATAGTTTACTATAATAAATAACACCAAAATGAATACCAAATAAAAACCAGGGATCAATATTAGGACCCTTATTATTTCTAATTTACATCAATAATCTCTATAAAACCTCAAACTTAATGACCATTATGTTCGCTGATGACAATACTCTGTTTTTATTTCACAACAACATAAACTATCTATTTGAATTATGAACAATGAGCTAATTAAAATCTCTGATTGATTCAAGACAAGTAAACTCTCAATATTGATAAAACCAAATAGAATTTCTTCCACCCTTATTTTAAAAAACACTTACTACCAAATGATATGCCTTTCCTTTATATTGACAATACTCTAATAAAAAAAACAAGCTTTACCAAATTTCTAGGCGTTTATATCGATGAAAATCTCTCATGGAAAAAGCACATAGAAAATTTGGGCAACAAAATATCCAAAAGTATTGGAATACTATATAAAACAAGAAATATCCTAAACAAGCACACTTTAACTCAACTATATTATTCATTTATCCATTGCCACCTAAACTATGCAAATGTTGCGTGGGGTAGTACAAATAAAAGTAAACTTGAACCTCTATGTCGTCAACAAAAATATGTTGTATGCCTCATTAATTTTAGGGATTGTTTTACTCATGCCAAGCCTCTCCTAATTGACATGAATGTTTTTAGTATATACGAGCTGAATATTTTCAATGTTCTTTGTTTTATGTAAGAAAAAAAACAACAGATAGACTTAATCTATTCAATAATGTATTCACAAAGGTGTTTTACATTTGTTGGAGAAAATAATAATTTTGAAAAGAAAAATTCGTCACAAAAATCGAGACATACTGAAAAGAAGAATTTGCATTGTATGAGTATATATCAACTTTTATTGAGGCAGTTTATGACGCATTGTATGAGTATATATCAACTTTTATTGACGCAGTTTATGACGCAGTGTATGAGTATATATCAACTTTTATTGACGCAGTTTATGACGCAGTGCATGAGTATATATCAACTTTTATTGACGCATCAAACTTTTGCGGTTCTCATGACAAGACTTTCGAAGTCTTCTTTGAGTTTCCGCATTCTTTATTTTTATTTGATTTCTATCATTATTTTAAAATAATCTTTAACTGTAAACTTTTTAACTTAATATGTTTGTATAAAAATTTTCATGTAATAAAGAACAAAAAAAAAAAAAAAATAATAATAATTCAGAGTTCCTACTACCAGAAAATTCAAGTAGAGCGTTTAATTTGTACTAAGTTGGGTTTGAATTGATAGAGCATTGGAAAAGCTGAAAATAAATTCTACAAAAGGTATAAAAAATGTTTATTGCATAGCCCCTGTCAAAATAACGGTTATTGGCTTTGTATCTGGAGAGGGTTGTTACTAAAAAGCTCTGGAAATATTTCTAGAAGTACAGCACCTTTTTTTTTCATGGTTGGCATATAACTTCTATCCATCGGTAAAGGAATTTTTTATACAACGAATATGAATGTCAGTGAGTTCTGTCAAAACATTGAGGTTACTTTGCATTGTTTTTCAGCTCATACTAACCATTTGATGTAGCCCTTGGATGCTTCAGTTTATGGGCTGCTCAAAATACACTGGAACAAAGTTTTGAAGGATTTTAACAATCAGTTTGCTATCATGGCAATAACCAAGGTAAACTTTTTTTCAGTGTTTAACATTGCTTGGAAAATGCAAAAGGTAAAACGGAAAATGCTGTCGGGATTTAGGAAATGTAGGTTTATTCAGTTTAATCCAAAGGCATTTGAGTATTCCATGCCTTTTTTTTAATTTTTGATTCAAGTGTTTTTGTGACAGAGCACCGCGGAAGAGCATTCGACTAAGAAGTTCACGCCTTCTTGCTTACCGCTGGCGCAAAATATACCTAAATTTCGCTTTGAACATTGGATCTCCTGCATCTAAAGCAATCTCAAACCACTGCGCCACAGGCGCCTAATTTTTTTACGATTGCGACAACGCACTTGTTTTCATCCCCAAAGTTACCATCCTCTGAATCCTCAACTGAAATATTTACTTTTTTTAGATGCTTGAAAAAAAAATCATTATTACATGAAAATGTCCTGATAACATATCGATGACAATAAGAAGAGGGTTATGTCATTCAGAGTGATGCGACTACATTATGTCGGAAATAAAGTATATATAGGTAGTTGCACATTAATTCGAATAAAAAATATATCTACAGCTAAACCATTGCCCGATTTTGACCCAAACATTTTAACACGATCTACAAATTGAATAAAAACTGCAACTGCTGCAAACATACAAACAGTTTTACTCCAGATATGTATATAATATTCAAAAAAATCGGTCAAACCGTTACAATTTATTATTCCATCGTCTATTATTCCAACAACTACAAAATCTAATAATCTAATCAAAAGAGTAACCCAATTAATAATCCAATTTGTACTGGGTATAATGACTCTGTGCACCTGCATTAAATTCGACCACTCGAGCACCATCTTAATAATTTTAACCACATCAAATTTAAAACTATAAAAACTACAATATAAAAACTACCTGAAAATAAAAAAAAAATGTTATAATAAGCAAAAAAGATCCAAGTAGGCTTGTTAAGATACTTTATGCTGTATGTGGAATCAATTTTTTTTTAAACTCTACATGATCAATAAAAGAAGCGAAATGGAGAGAATGAAAAAAAAAGTAAATCAAAAAAAAAATGTGTCAACAGCTTCTCTCAAAAGAAGCCAAGTCTCAAAAATCTCTAAACCCTGACTCTGATAATTATTGAATTGAAAATAAATCGGTTGCATGCTTTTTATTTTATTGTTTCATGTGGAAATTTCAAAAGTTTGATTTTTTAGTGCATTTTCAGAATACTAATCGGCAAGTGAATTTCATTTTTAAAAGTCTTTATCACCTTAATTGGTTTTTAGAAGTCTTAAAAGATGAAAAACGCCTATATAATGGGACCTTTGATGCCTTTATAAGGGAACCCTTAATTTGTTTCAAAATAAAGGATAATAGTATTTATTTGTTTTTCAAATTGTTATTATTTTGTAGATAAAATATTTGACTGTTCAAGTTGGCATCCATATTCTCCCAGAAGCCGTTAATTCAGATTCCATGATGTTTGCGGCAAATGTTCACCAAACGGTTCAAAATTCGCCAACTTACCCTACGACTAAAGCAGGAAGTTAGTGGAGGATGGAGAAAAAACCTCACATAATTTATTAGTTTTAATTAACAAATTACATAGACGACAAGTAGGCTAATCAGTAAATAAAATTCAATAATTTTATAAATACAAAAAATGATTTAATAAATTTAAATAGCCTTTTGATTAAAATTATATATAAATAGTAATAAAAATATATTTAAATAAGTTGTTACATTACATAACAAACAAACAAAACAAAACAAAAAAAAAACGAAACCAATAAATTATAAAATAATAAAAATTTATGGTTTGTAAAATATAAACTTTAAGTAAAAAAAATTATTTGTTATTTCATAGCAAGTATCAAGTAGCAAGTGGTAAGTAAGTTATTATATAGTTCAATAATTTAAAATATAATCTCTATAAATAAAATCAAAATTTTTTTCTTACAAATAAAGATTTTAAAAAAAGTTTCAAAAAAATTTATTTCATATACAACCAAACCCACCCTTGCTGTACATTTCGTAACGATATTCGATTATCCACCAATAACATGTGTAAGCAAAACTTTATAAAATCAAATTAAATAAAAACAAAACTAAATGATTATTATTTAATTAAATTCTGAATCTTTTTATGAGCTTATAGCTTTCTATATATACTAGAACATTTTAAAGTTTCTAGATTTTTTGAATTATATCAACTTTTGATAAAAAATTTTTAAATATAATTTTAAAATTTAAAATTTTAAAACACAGACAGCTCAGCAACCGAACCAAATATTTTTAGCAAGTTAAGACTTAAAATCTATTAAAATTAACGAAGTTAAAACTTATAACTTATTAATTTTGCGAGACGTTACTATATATTTGAATCGTAGTCTAAAGCACGTTTACAAGCAGCTGCTTTAGCTATTTTCTTATTCTGACCACATGCTTTAATCTCTGTACCGTTATCTTTGCCAAATTTGACAGTGCAAGTGACTACTTCTCCGTTTGTAAAACTAAAAAAGATATACCCGTAACCATAACAACAACCGTAAAGTATTTAACTGTACCATTTATACACCTCATTAAACTTTAAATTTGAACAAATTTAAATGAAAAAAAAAAAAGATAAATAAATTTACTTTATGTTTGCTTGAGGATACTTTTCAAAAAGATCAACAGCTGGATGCCGTGGTAATTTGATCATGTACTTTTCTAATCATTTTTTTAACAAAATCAATTTTTGTCAATCAACATGAGTAAAATATAAACAGTGCTAGTAAAATATTCATACCAATAACAGGTTTTAACAGAGGATAGTAGATCTTCCATACTGTAACTAAATCTAATCCACTATCAAGAAATATTGCACCAGCAACAGATTCAAATAAATCCCCCAATACTTTTGGAGCTTGGTAACCTTCTTCACTTTCAGTTGGACAAATAACAAATGGGCTCTTTTAGAAATAAAACATTTAAACAGAATAAAAAAAGTTTAAGAAGAAGAAAAAAAAATAAAGAAAAAAAAAATAAAGAAAAAAAAAATAAAGAAAAAAAAAATAAAGAAAATAAAAAAATAAAGAAAAAAAAAATAAAGAAAAAAAATATATAGAAAAAAAAAAAATAATAATAAAGAAAAAAAACAAAACTTTTAGGAAAAAGGAACATATTGTGTTATTTCGAATTGAACAAAATCTTATTTCAGAAAAAAACAAAAAAAAAAAACAAAAAAAACTTTATAAATGAAAATTATTAAAAAAAATTGTTTAATTTATTGTAAAAAAATATATTTAAAAAATACCTCAAAATATTCATCTTTCAATCCCTGATCATCTTTAACTATTTCAATAAAGCTATTATAACTTGAAAACAGTTCATTAGAAGACGAGTAAATGTATTTGTAAAACGAATGTTTAATCGCCAACAGGCCAAATGTATTGTTGTTGACTACAGCTGAGCGAAAATAAGTCAACTGACCAGGAGATAGGTTTTGGGTATTACTTTGAATGTGAAGAGTTATTAAGAAATCTAATATAGCATCACCTAAAAATTCGTACTGTTGGTAACATCCAGTTACACTGTTTGACAGATATGAAAGATGAGTAAAAGCTTGAATCAAATGAGATTTGTTTGAAAACTTGTATGAAATCAGATCTTCAAACTTGTGTAAGTTATAGTGCTCATACAATTTATGTTCAGCATTAGAATCAATACAAGCTGATCTTGATGCGCAAGGGTAATCAGCGTAATGACTGGGTATCATAAAATTTTGCCCATTTTGTAAACTAGAATGCAAAACAGGGATATTTAAAAAATGTTGCATGAAGCATAATGCCAAGTTTACACCACCTACTTCAAAATAAACACCAATTAATGCTTCAACACAATCTGCTATTGATTTGGGTTGGACATTTTGATATGTGTACCTTTTTATATCATCAAGTTCAGCACGAAGATATCCAGGAGGTAACCACACTGTCCATGGGTTTCTATTTTCAGAATTAGAACTTTTAGTACCAAACTGTGAATTGCAAATTATATTTTGAATACCAACACTCTTTCCAACTTTACACAAATTTTCGTTACTGATGCAATTTTTACGCCTTATAGTTAGTTTACCCTCATGGAAACTAGGATTCTGAAAAAATACAAAAATTGAAACAGCTTGTTTTAAAAAAGAATCCCCAAGAATTTCAAGGCGTTCTAAATCAAATGGCATATTTGCTTGCCTAGTTGTTAAAGCTTCAAAAATCTTCAAAACACTAGGAGATTTTACATTTTCTGTAACATAGTTTTTCAGTTGAAGCAGGTTTTCTAAATCCAATACTGAAGATTGATACCTTCCCTGATTCTCTGATTTATTTATTTTAATTTTTTCTGCAATCATGTCTTTCAATTCTAGAGCTAAGAAATAATACTCATAAAAATAAATTATTCTTGGCAAACATGGCAACTGAAGATGCAAATCTGCTCGAAAAAAAGAAACTTTTTTACACAGTTTGGGCACAAGTTTTTCCGTGTTAATATATTTTTTTTTCTTATTAGTGTTTGATTCAAAATTAGTGAATGAAATTTGTTGTGAGTACGAAATTGCATCTATTAATGGCTTGTTTGGTGAGATTTCTATGTTGTACTTCTCTAAGTAATACTGAACAAATGTTTTGTTGCCCTCCATAAAACTGCTTGTATTCAAGCTACTAATTGCTGTAACATAGTACATTCGATTTTTTGATTCGCCATAATTCTTGCTAACAACACAGTTTACATAATTTTCCTCATCATCCAAGTTATCTTTTAGTTTTTCTTTTGTAAAATTAAGAAGTCTTTTATTAATGACAGGAAACATAAACTCATAACAGTCATCTCTAATAGCTTTAAACACATCTGAATGAAGAGGAACAAATAATGCTTTAGTCACCTTTGCATCATTTATATTAAAAGACATGAGTCCATCTACAAGTTTTAAACAAGATTCAGTAACAACATTTATATGAAAATTTTTTATATCATCGATATTAATGTCACATTCAGATCTTATTCTGCTTGGTATCTTTATAAGCTCAATCTTTAGCTTACCAACAACTGAAAATAAATCAAAGGAAGGAAGCTGAAAATAAAAAAAAATTCTTTTATATATAAATTTGTTAACAAAATTTAAATTAGTTTTTATAAAACTAATAAAATTTTTCAAAATTTTCAAATTTTCAATGGTGGGTATTTTTATTATTATTATTTAGAAATTTTGATTTTAATAATACTTATAAATTTTACTATTTTAATAAAAAATATTTAAAAACCTTATTTTAAAAATACTTATAAAAAAATTTATAAACTGCTTTGTTAGATTTTTTGATTCAATTGGGGCCTATTTTAATCTAAGTAATTTAGTTTCAACGGAGAATTTCAGGTTTCAAGCTATAAGCCAAGTGAGTAAACAGAGGTTGTGAGCAAATTTTCTATTTTTTATTAAGACAATACTTTTGTATATCAAAAAATGCACAGAAATTACTTGGAAGCAACAGTGTGAGTGTTTGAGTGAGATTTAAAATTATATAAAAATTTTATTCAAAACAAAATTTTTTGCATATACTTAAAAACAAAAATGTTTTTAAGTATATGCAAAACTATGAAAGTGAATAAACATTTTCTACAAATATTTCTGTTAGCAAAACCTTTCATCCAAAGTAAAATTTCATCTAGCATTACCTGATGTATATCTTAAATAGCTGGTTATATAAACAGTATATTAAATAGCTGGTATGTTAAATAGCTGGTATGTTAACTGCTATACACTAGAGTTTTATATGGAAAAAAAAACAAAGTTTCTTTCACATTGTACTAGAGTTTTTCAAAAACAGGTAGTTTCAGAAAACAGCTGTTTTCTGTTTTCCATTAAAAAAGAACAACTGTTTTCTGTTTTTCATGGAATTAACAACTAAAAAGTTTCTAGCATTATTTTTTATTATTACTAATCTTTGTGCAAAAGTTTGTTAAAATTGAAAAAACTTGTTCAATGTCTGTGGACTTTAATTTAATTGTAATGAGAGCCTCATATAATTTTTGCAAACTTTCTGTTCTTTTCGCTGTGTTCTAAAATAGAAAAAATTCCTGCTTTAGCCATTTGAATTCATCATTGACTGTTGAAGCAGAAGTAGCTTTTTCCTTTCTCAACAATAAATCCATCATCAACATCAACTCTTCTTGAAGAAATATTGAAGCTGGACTAGTCTGATGACCTTCAGAATCACCAGAATCAGAAGTTTTTTTATCTCCTTGAAAACCGAAAATTCTTTTTGCCAATTTTCCAGCAAAGAGTAAAGTGTCTCTTGATGAAATATTTGTAGGATCTCTCAGTGATCTTAATGAGTTTATCACATCGTTACTTTATCTTTCACTCGTTCGTTTCTTGAGATTTTCATATAACTCCTTCCCAATGTTGTTATTTAAGTTCGAAAGTTTTTCCAGCATATAGTCAATAACAGCTGTCAAAAGCCTTAAACTTTCATGACTCAGCAGCAATTTTGATTGGCTCCATGGCAGTAATCAATTTTGATTGGCTCCATGGCAGTTTGCATAATTAACAATCTTATTAATCAGATCAAGCTTATTTAATTCTCAAGTTTTGTTTTAATCAGTGGACCAATCATTGTGGAGAATTTTAACAATGTTGAACATCAAGGTGCAATTCGATTTCAGCTCCAAATGCTTGAGTTTTGACTGAAATACTTGATTTTAAAGGTCGAATTTCTGATATATTTGACAACATCTGAATAATCTACTTGCACAACCTCTATGTCATTATTTTCAAAATTATCAACCTGATCTTCATTAGAATTAGTTTAATTGAGTTAAACTCAGAGTCTGAATTTAACTCAATTAAACTAATTCGATTGTTTTTCTTATACAAAGTGTCAATTACTCCCAAGTATGATTAATACTTGGGAGTAATTGACAGTGAACAACTGTATACTCATTAACACTTGTACTGAATTTTCTTCCTTTTGAAACAATTTCTAAAACCATTTGATTTTTCTTGTTACGAAAATCAGTGTTGATAAGCTTCATTACCCTTCATTATGTTGATAAGCTCTCATTTTTTGAAAATCGATATCCTTCTTTTTTCATTGCATCGTGAATGAACGATGATTTCTGGTAATAGCTTTAATGGGTATTCCGTCTGTAGCCATGACAAAAACTATTTCATTTAAGCTCTTACATTGAACAAAATCAAGCATTGTTTTATGGTTTCTTTTCTGCTACAACTTGTTCAGGAGGAATTTTTTCAGTTTGAGACCAATCAATTCCATGCTTCAATTTTAAGTGAGGTTTTAAGCTCGTGGTAGATTCTCTAAAGCACTTAATAACATAATTGCTTAATAACAGAATTTCTTTTGAGGAATGAGTCTCTAAATAGTTTTGCAATCATTGTATAGTTTTTCATATAATTCTCTAAATGGAACTCTTGTGTTGCAATTTTTAATGATTATTATAAACAAGTATTAAAAGTGATTTTCCATAGGGAACTGGATTTGTAACAATCGTTGCACTCACTTGACAAAACAATTATTTTAAGTTTATTTTATAAAGTAACTACTTTGTTTCATATTAAAAATCCAGAAATCATTCGAAAATCAAACTGTTCTTTTAAATTTATGAATTTTTTTAATATTAAATTTTAATAATTTTTTTTAAATTTGTTAATTTTCTGTTAGAAAAAAATATTAAGATAAAAATCAAAAACAGGAAAATAGGTAGCAAAAAAGCAGCTGTTTCCTGTTTTCTGATTTTGGCTAAAAAACAGCTGTTTTACAGTTTCTGTTAACAGCTGTTAGAAGCATTACATTGTACTGAATTCATTAATGTAATGATTCTTTAGAAGTTAGGTATTTTAATATTTCTAACTAAAGAATCGTTAATGTAATGATTCTTTAGTTAAAAACATTACATTGTACTGAATTCATTAATGTAATGATTCTTTAGAAGTTAGGTATTTTAATATTTCTAACTAAAGAATCGTTAATGTAATGATTCTTTAGTTAAAAACATTACATTGTACTGAATTCATTAATGTAATGATTCTTTAGAAGTTAGGTATTTTAATATTTCTAACTAAAGAATCGTTAATGTAATGATTCTTTAGTTAAAAGCATTACATTGTACTGAATTCATTAATGTAATGATTCTTTAGAAGTTAGGTATTTTAATATTTCTAACTAAAGAATCGTTAATGTAATGATTCTTTAGTTAAAAACATTACATTGTACTGAATTCATTAATGTAATGATTCTTTAGAAGTTAGGTATTTTAATATTTCTAACTAAAGAATCGTTAATGTAATGATTCTTTAGTTAAAAACATTACATAGTACTGAATTCATTAATGTAATGATTCTTTAGAAGTTAGGTATTTTAATATTTCTAACTAAAGAATCGTTAATGTAATGATTCTTTAGTTAAAAACATTACATAGTACTGAATTCATTAATGTAATGATTCTTTAGAAGTTAGGTATTTTAATATTTCTAACTAAAGAATCGTTAATGTAATGATTCTTTAGTTAAAAACATTACATAGTACTGAATTCATTAATGTAATGACTAGTTGTTTTTTTGTAGTTGTTTGAACTAAGAGCAAGAGGATTAATTTTTTAACAACTTCAAGTTGTATTTTACTAAAAGAGATAAAGTTTCTGAAAGTTTCCATTTAATTTTTAAGATAAGGCTTTAGAAAGATCAGAAATATTGATTGTTGCTAAAACATAGCTAATACAATATAAAGTTTCACATCTGAAATGAGTAAAAATAAAGCAACAGCTTACTTTTATTAGAAAACTTTTATATGTACTTTTCTCATACATAAAACTACCTGTGTATATTTAAAATGATATCAGTGATGAACCATGATTAGTCTGCTTATTATTATACTTATAAACCTGATTAGTCTGCTTATTAATTTCAAAATTACAATACCAACTGAAAACTAGTTGCAGAAGATAGGTTAAAATCATCTGAAAACTATACAATAATCTGAATTAATGGCAGAAATTGTATGTGTAACACATAGTAATGTTGCCAAAATCTGATTTAGGTATGCTAATCATTATCAGTTCTGGTAATAAAAACAAGAGGTTTTAATATTTGTTAATGCTGCATTTTTACCCCAAACCAGATATAACTAATACCATCAGTGATCATAACTCTATCAATGTTGTTCCACATATAAGAAAACTGTAAAAATTGCCACTGATATATGAAATAACATGTTAAAAAAGTCAAAAATATCATGTTATAAAAAATATTGATTTTTCAGGTATGTGTATATTTGTGGTTTTCTAAAAGGAAAATTATTTTAATATTTATAACTGAAAATATTATTTTAATATTTATAACTGATTTTACAATAACAAATTTAAGAAGTATTATTTTTAGATCTTCAAAAGTAATAAAAATTAAATAAAAAATGAGCAATTTTATTTTTTCACAAACTTAAAATTATTTTTATTAGTTATTTTACTTTTATTTTAATAAATTTTGAAATATATTTAAAGCTTACCATTTTTTTACAATAATAGTAAAGTATTAAATAATATTTATTATTTTTGAAGATCCGAAAATGCTAGATCCTGAACACATCCAAAGATTCAATGATATTTAAAAAAAAAAAAAGATAACAGATTAATACAAGTCATCTTTGTTTTTCTATTGTTTAAAATTATGTGTAAAAAAAATCTTTATGACAATTACCAGAGTGGTGCATAATATCCTCATTCTAAAGTCATTACCATGTATTTCAAAAAATTAGGGTTTACAGGTGAAGCAAAAAACTGGACTGTTGCTGTGATTGAAAACTCAGAGTTGTAGAAACTTAAAGTTCAATTTAACTCAGAAATATTATTTTTCTCATTTTTAAAATTTTTTTTGGCTTCAACAGAAGATGCATATGGTAAATTATGGTTTAAAAGTATTGAAGCCGTAAAATTGCATTTTTTGAAATGTGCCAAATTAATGCCAATTGATTTGTTGATGAAATATATTTGTTAATTTTAATGAAAGAAGGATGATAAAAATATATATTTTTTTAAATTTGAGTATTGATTATCCATATTAAC